ATTTTTCTCTTAAATGTGAAGTAGAAGGTATACTTCTCTTTGGTAGACTTACATCACTTATACATAAATTTCATTGCGATAGGAAGTTTGTTTGGGCTATTGTGAGTAATTTGATCACTTTACTTGATTACTGGGACCTAACCCAATCAGTTAGTATTGCTTCACCCTCGCTAATATCCCTTTAAAAGGTTGTATTAGTCTTTTGAGCTAAAATAATTCAATCTTTAGTACGTAAGTTATATGTCGAAACAGCAACACTAGAGTTTTTTCCTTACTTAGATGGAACTGATAATAAAGTTATACTTGAAAACTAACGTAGGTTTTATATTATTTCAAAAAGCTGGTGCCAATAAATCTATCCAGCTTTTGTTTTATTTGCTATGGTTCCTTCAAAAAAGGCTTTTAATCAATTATATCTCCCATGCAGCCAGTTATAAAAAATATCTATAAATTTACATTTCAAATAGGTTTGTGTGCATTGATATGAAGCTTCTAAAGCTGCAGTAGAATTTAACAAATGCATTCCTATTTGTGTTAATGTTATTTTTTTGTGTTGTAGTTGTGTAAATGCGAAACGAGTTCTGAGAAATAGACAAATTTTCCTTTTCCGCTTGCAATATGGGTTTTTTTTTCAAATAAATTTCTTAACATTGAGCTACATGCTAAGTTTTTTCATAAAGGTTTGAAAACAATGCTTTTTGGCCATCCTCTTTTTTTTTACTAGCAGCTATTCTTAACAGACAAACTTACATTTCTTGCCTCTCAAAAATAATCAGAGAGGCTATTCTCTTCAAATTTGCCTTTTTAAAGAGATCCTTCTCAGCTTCACAAAAAGAGTTTTTATAATGGAACGATGATATCACGCATCCATTCTGTTTGTGGAGATAAAAGCCCTGTTTAGCGATTTTTAAGGGGAAAAAATCCCTAAAACTACCTTAGCCTATTTATACACGCAAATTTTTATAGTAACTAATTTTATGGAGAAGGTGACAACTTTAGAAATGCTTTAGTTGTAAGTTTAATTATTAAGGCATAGAGCAAGTAGGCGATAGAACGAATAATTCTATCACACGTCTGCAATTACACACTCAACTCGAAACTAATAAACTCTGTGTTGCAATTAAGAAAGCAAAGGTGAGCGCATAATTCGATTTTGTTAGTTAGGAGTAGCATGATTAGCAGTAAGATGATCTTTGCCTGTTGATTTATGTAATCTGCAAATCCACGGCGCGCTTTTATGTCTTCTTAAGAAGCCTTAAAACCCCTTATGAATTGCTTTCAAGGCTTTCACTATTGCGTCCGTCAACAATTTAGTCACAATTGTTTAGC